CTCGAGGCGCGTCATTCCAACAGTGCTGCATACCGACTCAACGTCCGCTCGATGCGCGACGACGACGACGACGACGACGACGACGACGACAACGCAGTTGCTCAGACATGTTGTGTAGGGCATGCTTGGTGTAGACTACTATGCGAGGCAAGGATCGTTTTTGTCCTCATCTAGCAATGGATTAAGTTTACGCTTATTGCTTGAACCAGGGAACTCGACATTCATAAACCGCATTCAAAAGTAGCATTGAGCGGTGTTGACAATGCGATAGATTGAATATTAATTTTGTACTGTGTAGGCAAACAAAGTTGAATAGGCATGATTGTTTTTTAAGTCTTTTGTAAGTTTAATTAATGCAAATTCCATGACTGTGTATATTTAGAGAAGGATATATTACGTGTATAACATATCGATATATTTAAACATGACTGGTATATCATATAATTTAGCTTATATTGAGCTGTGTACAGTATAGAATAGTACTGTTTATGCGAATACGCTTGGATCTTCTTTTTTTAACTTTGCAATAGAAAATATCTGTGATATGACATGAAACATATTTTTTTAATTTTCTTACATACAGTCTCAGTATTACATTTTTCTAATCAAATGTATAGTTTGTATCTTGGATCTTGGCACATAGCGTGAACTAAGTTTGATCTAGATAGGAAGAAAGTTGACTTGGAGGATTTGAGAATGCAGGTGGAACAGATCTGGATAGAAGCAGCAATCAATGAAGGTCCCAATTTCCGAAAACTCAAACATGGACAATAAATTGAAGTTTTCGGATCGCTTGAAGGCTTTGCTGAAAACCGAGGCACATCAAGATGTTGATCCATACATTTTCAGTGAACCAGAACCATTTGCTACAGCAGGGGGAAGACATGCCACGGTGGTTCCACCGACAAATTCCGAAGTGATGCAAAGTTGCAAGAACAACAAGTCAAAGGGGAAATGCATGAAGCAGAGGATAAGAGTAGCGCCTGTTCCAGTTGCAGGCTACAAAATTGTCGGAGTCAATGCCACAGCAGAGACAAACATCGACAACGGCATTGGGGTGAACTTGGATCACAAATTTTCTAATTTAGTTCAGTGTAAGCAACGACACATTGAAAATTTGCAGAGATTGCGACCTAGGAGGCCAAGTCGGGATCACACGCTGTTGTATTATCCGAGGGCCGGAGACGAGATATCTGACAGCGATTCAAGCGGAGACGAGTTGATGATACATCAGCGTCATTGGGTTTTCGGCGAATCTACTGCATCACCAAATCGAGCGGCTCGGCTGTCCCAACTGCGTTCACAGTTACAACGACAATTGCTTCAGTTGCGTATCGATGGTGCTGACGCTGAAGCTGTTTTGCGGCACAGGGTCAGATGTTTGCTGGATGCCGCTTCCAAAGATCCTACTTCTACCGCGCGAGCTTTGTGTGACTCTCCAAGTACCAGTAAGGTACTCGACGGACCGCTATTAGTTGGTGGGCCATGTGGGGCGGAGGGATGCCAACAAACGTCTTTGCCTTGTACCCGGCATTGTTCCCGCCACATCATGTTGAACGCAGATCAGCTTTTATTTGAGCATTGCACTGCCAAGTTTAGTGACAACACACAGTGTTGTGTTCCTGTGTTTGATGTCGCGCACGAATTACCTCTTTGCCCAGAACACGCGAGGAAGAGAGACAATTATCATCGTAAAATCCAAGAATCTAAACCAAAGAAAGCTCGTAAAAAGCCTCCAGTCTCCCCTCCTATCCCGGCGAAGCCTAAACCCAAATCCAAGCCGAAGAAACGTAAACGACCACCATCTAATAAAATAGAGACTACCAAGAGTGTGGCATTGATGCCCGAGGAGAGTCATTTCATGAGCCAAATAAACTGTAGTGAAAACCATACCAAGATGTTGAACAATTTAAATGCTCCACAAGGAACGTGTTCAAATACGTCTAACTTAAATCTAGGATTGGGATTAGGCTCTCTTGGCTTGAGTGGAGGACTCAAAGTCGAGCTTGGGGATAATGAAGTATTCGCTTCTTTGGATTCTGCTGAGCATGACTTTGGCAATGTGCTCAATAACTTGCCCCCGGATGCTTTTAATGACTTATTTATCGGTAATTGCAACATTCATATTTTTGGTGCATTTTGTAAATCTCGAGATTGTGTAGAACTCATTGTTATATTTAATTCATAAGATAATGTAAGATGTGTTTTATATTTTCATTTATAGAGGGTAGAAACGGAGATTATGAGCCGTCGAGAGAAGAAGAGGAGGAATTGCAACGGGCTTTGGAAGAAGTTGATAAAGATGTACGAAACTTGGAGAGGATGGGGCAGACGCATGGACTTTTAGAGCCGGCCTTGCTTGCCCAGCTTATGTCAGACATTGCCTCGTAGCCCCACCAATCCTAATGTAATAATTTTTTGGAAAGGAATTCGTGCGTGTTCCTTGTAATGTAGAAAGAAATACTGTTTGTGTCTGTGCTGCTAAACGTAAGATTGCGTTATAGACTGTTTATCACATAGCCACGCAAGTCCGAGATAATGGCAGGGATTGACATACAGAAAGTAAAAAAATGAAAAAAAAAAAACAATAGCAAATTTATGAATTTAGTATAAACAGCATCGGGTACAACACAGGTAGGTTTATGTTAAACAAGTAGCAGTGTAAAAACCGAGAATTCCATCCTTTTTGACAAATAATCACGGACATTCTGCGTTATTATTATATTTGCAATTATATTTGTAGCTTATTTGCAGATACTTTGACTTGCACTTGATAAATTTGCTTAGAAAAATTGTTATAGCTGCAATTAATACATACAATCATTTTGAAGAATAATGAAATGTATAAGTAGAAGGGACGAGAGTGAGCTCAGAGTTCACATTAATGGTTCAAATTAGATTCCAATACACGCGAGCTAAACGAAATAGTTTTCATTTTTATATACGGCTTGTTTTTATTGAAATAAACGGCAGGAATTATCTAAATTATGTTTACTAATAGATCCTATATTTATTGAACTACACGTAATGTCTAGCTAATTACTGACTACTCAAATAATAGGTACAAAGGTATTTTTTATGACTGATTTGTAATGATTTTATCTGTTATTGATTATACTGTAGCAACTGTGAGTAACGTATTCTGATTTGCAAACTGGAGTTTAGCTCTACAAATTAAAGTACAGAATAATTGGAGTCAAACGATATAATATTTGAAAGAAATATTTGGTGTTCGTACGTAACTGTGTATATATTTTATATATATATATATATATATATATATATATGTATATATATATGTGTATAAAGTATACACACACATACATATATATATCATTATATTAGAACAAATTGTGGTAATAAAATTATTCATTAATTTGCAGAATGTGAAAAATGGTATTTGCATTATTTTTTCAACGGCGGCAATATAAAAAAGAAATTACGAATATGATATACATCTTATGCAGTATCATCCTTTGAAAATATATTACCTAAATTTTATTTAAATAAAGTACATTTTTCCATAATTTAATTTTCATTATAAAACCTTGTGCATAGAATATATGTTTATACAAACACACGACTGAATTTATAAAGAAAAAGAAGTATGCATATGTCTACATAAATATATGTAATACGTAATGTATATAATCACGTTTTTTTCCATAATCTGATTACTGCAATAACTTTTAAATAATTACATTTATTATCGTTATATTATTAATATATGTGGATAATCAATATTGTCACTTTGTCCATTCTGTATTATATTCATGTAGACAAATGTTCAGCGATAGAGTAGCTGTAATATCTAAGTGAAGTAAACATTAGCGAAAAGTGCCGAAAAATTTCATTTTTTAATATTGTTACCGAATGTGCAACACGCTTTGCAGCCTTACAAATGAGAAGATGACACGCTGTGTATCAACTAAGTAAAGGAAACTTTTTATTATCATGTATATTTTTTCAAGAGAATATTTCGATGTTCATTTGAGAAGAGAATTTTTTCTTTTTTTTTTTTATGAAAAGTATAAAGGCACGGATTCTGAAAGTAAAACTAGATCGTGATATAATAGTGTGTGAATGGTTGAGTTGCTTACTGCCATTTAATTCCTAAAGTACGTGCACGACAAAACATTGTTACGATTCCATTGTAATAATAATAGTAGTATAAAACGCGATATACGCTGATATATTGTGGATTATCGTAATCTCGATACATATCGTAATAACTTGATGAAACGGGAAAATGTAACACATCACGTAATTAACTACCGATAAAGAAAACATTTAAAATGTTATTCATTATACGTGTGTGCAAGACGGGCAGATATAAAATATAATCTAGTTTTTATTATCAAAATCGCTGTGCCAAATATTGAGAAATTTCTTTTTTTTTTCTTTTTTTTATGTTGCTACATAATGCGTGTCATTTGTTCAAGAAAAACGGGTCGCACTGGTGCAAAGCGCACTACTAAGTAATGAACGTTTAGCTGAATGTGAGCGATTATAAAAAACGCAAATAGCGAGTTGATCGCAAGTAGATGCAAACAGAAACGGAATAATTTGCAAATCGACATTGGGGATTAAATTAATGGGATCGTATGTATTGTTATTACGTATATAGCGTTAGCGATTAGGTATACAATAATTATTTATGGACAGGACAATGCCGAATTTAATCGTAACGCATTGCTTGAAAATGTATCTATATGTGTATCTTCTTGTAAAATATCAGCATTATTACTCTTGATTAGGCATCACCAATTATAATAAGCATATTTTTTACATTGCGTTATAGCGTTCAGTTTATATCCATCCTTGTCATTCATATCCTAACGATAATATCGGTTTGACAAAACAACTGGACTTGTGTATTTTATTTTTATATTGATAAATAAGACTCAAGAATAATATATTCTTAAATTATCGATATTCTAGAATTTATATCCGTATTAATATATATAAATACTAGTTTAATTTCTTGTGAAATTCTCGTCGTATAGATGTAAGAATTTTATTCTATTCTGAACATTCAGTCTAAAGTTGCCATTACAGAGACAACTGTTTTGCGTTCACGTCGTTTTATCTCTCGAAGGATCCATTTTATCCGGGCTTTTTCGAGAATCTTTTTATATTTCTTGCTTACCTCCTGAATTTCTTTCACTGGGAACACCTCCATTATTTCAGGCAGTCTTTCGGGCAGTCTTTCGACCTCCTCTTTTTCCTTTGTATCATGAAATAGAAATATTTCAGATATTCAATTTCTCCGTGTATTCAGTTAGGATTTGTATTTCTGTAAAAAAAAAAAGCGACCGGACACAAAGATATTCTTACAAAGATACTCTTTCGCATCTCCAACAATTTTTTGTCGAGCAAAGCAATTTCTATTGGCTCCTCTGGTTTGTGCGGCATTAACATTATATCATAATCCGAACGATTGTGACCCAATATGCCCACTTTGATCCCTAATTGAGATAGCTTTTCCTCATCGACAAGAAGAGCATTTCTTAGATAAACGATTTTTGGATGGTGTATGTCGATATCTGCTACGCCTTTAAATGGAAGTACGAATGCACAGCTATCCTTTGCGCAAATATTGTAGTTTAGAAATATATTAAGGATGACTACGACTGAATTTTGATTAACTTGATCGATGACTTATTACTGACTGACTTATTATTTGTACTATCTTGTTGATGTGAATAGAATTATTAATATTCTGTTATTTACATGAAAAAATTAAATTAGAAATAATGAATTATATAAATAAAAACCAAGAATATTATATTCATTAATAATCATATTTCTAGAATTTTCTAGAATTATCTATAATAATGTATATAATAAATATTGTTTTAGTTTCTTGAATTAGAATTATATTTATTGAATTTAAAGAATTATCTATTAATATTAATATATATAAATATTTAATTCCTTGTGAAAAAATTTTCGCCATGTATTAATTTGTAACTGTGCCAGTTGAATTAGTTGCCGATTAGTTAATCGGAATTTTGTCGAAGTCACAATTCATGGGTATAAATATATTATTTCTACAGATCTTGATATTTTAAATATCCTTAGATATACTATTTCTATAAATTATTCTGAATACAAATATACTATTTTCATAAAAAATATATGTCACCTAACGATAGAAGACGATAGTCGCAATCTCCGTATATCAGTTCATGAGGTAAGGGGGAATTTCTGAGCAATTTTCGAGTTTTCATTGTTGTTTCGGAACCATATAGTATACGAATGTCATCCTCCAGCATATCCTGAATAAGCTGACTGCCGCTTTGTCTTTGCGCGGTATTGTACGTCTCGGTCCGGAGCAACCTGTGCAGTTCTAGCTCTGCGAGACGATGATCAGTTATTCGGTAATCAATTCTCAAATACCATAGGAATATCGTAAATCATATATATATAATATACATTCAGCGTATAACGTTCTTATAAACATTATGTATTATTTTACGATGATATACAATATTTATAGCAAAATCATCATGCATTATACAGTGATATACAATATATATGGTATTTTCTTTGTATAATCATCGTAAAATGATATATTTTAGAACATTATATGCTCTTTGTCGTACCGATCAGAGTGAAATGTTTCCGCTGTAATGCTATCCATATGACCCTATGAGCCACACTTATCAATGCCTCAAAGATTCGCAGATCTTTCTCGCCCTGAGATTGCGTGGCCGTGCGTTTCGAGTCGGTTATCATGTGGTGATAGCGAGGCCCATACCGGCAGCCCAGCAGCAAGTCCGCGTACTCCCTGCCCAGGACACAACGTAGAGTATGCAAATCATTGGCATATCGAGATCTATGTCCACGTGCCAGTGGATTAGGCGCCTTCTTCATGGTGGCCGCTCGTCCATGTACCAAGTCCTCCCATATCTGTACGAAACGTTGGAAGTAGATGATAAGTGCTCTCAAAAATCGGTCTACGATCGGCAAGTGAAAGAAATTTATGAACTGCGGGCTGACGGACGTCACGAGGAGGAAGAGCACGAGGTCCTTGATGTCTTGCAGGATAATGATGTCTGGCTCATCCGGTGTGACTTTTCTTAGATAATTCTTCCGAAATCTGATCTACAATTGGAATAAATATGAGACATTCCTCTTGATATCGAGTTGTTAAAAAATTTATATAATTGTGATCCGATCTTCACCTTTTCGCTATCATTCAATATTTCCCGATAATACAAAATCAAATACGCGTGTGGAGCATAAATTTCCGATGTAGGGACAGCAACAATTTTCTTTCTTCGTCGCTTAGCTTGATCTTCTTCTGCCTTTGTCACGCTAATCAATGAAATAGGGATTTACGTTGATAAAAGGATTCACGAAATCATTCTTTCCCGTGAAAATTTTTCTCAGAGAGAATTTTTTAGAATATTTATATAAATTTAAAAATTTCTGAATAATTTTTAACTTTTTAGAAAATTTCTTATTTTTCATACAAATTGAAACAATTGCATTTTTTATACAAATTGTATTCTTCAGAAGTGCCAAGACAATCTATATCTTTACTAAAAATTTTCATATACATGAATTCTGAAATATTCTAAGATTTTTTAATTTCTCATTCTGTAATAATTCTAATGAAATATAAGATCTGAAAGATTTTATAAAATGCCTTTATTTCTTTCTCAGGAATTATAAAATGAAAAATCTTAGAAAGTCTTTCAAGATGGTATAAAAAAAATGCATTAACATTTAGAACAATTATTCGCAGATAAAAATAATTTATGTCTTTCTCTATCTAAAAGTTCTATCATAGAATATTAAATTATATCGTGCACTCATTTTAAATGAAGCTAGATTAAAAAACAAGCAAAAAAACTACAGAAAATAGTTAATTATAAATATATGGGACGAAAAATTTGAAGTTACTAAAATTATTTACCTAAGTAGAATTAATTCTTCCATAATTTCATCCCATGCAAAGTATCTTTCACCCATATTGAGTTATTATATCATATAATTTTCACGATTTTATTCATAACAAATTTTCAGGTTATCATTAGACTAGCATTTCTAGAAATAGACATGCTCTCCTAATCACAATGAAGGTATAACAGAGTCAAATTATTGATCTAGGAAAATATAGTTCCCCATGCAAGTATATATACTTGAAGTGCTTACTAGATTCCCAAATCTCTTTAGAATATAATAATTGGAGGTATTATTGGAGGTTTCTGATTAAATTGTATGAAAGAATATAATTATCGCGTTGAAACAATATTATAACAATACGATCATAGTTATGCAAAGAATTCTAGAGGTTTATTATTTTTAACTGAATTTTTTGTATAGTTCATCTTTTCTTTTTTCCAATGTAAAAAAAAAGAGGACCAATAAATCATGCAGATAAAAAGAATAGGTTTAAAATATATATATCCAAGTTAGGAGTTTCTAGGAAAACTTATTCACTTTTATTAAGCGTTATTTATTTATATTATAATACAACATATTAGAAATGTGTTTTTTTCTTCCTTTCCACCCAGAACAGAGGAAGAGAATCTAAAATCGGCTTGTCCTCGGGAAATATCGGATCGGTTGGCAGTTTCCAGAACTCACTGACATAAAGTTGCGAAGAACTCTCCGGCGTCCAATGATGCAGACAACACCTTACCTTCACCTGTTCGCGATTATTAATCGTGATAGTCACGTAAAATTCCTTTCCTTGTAAATCCAGGTTCGGTCCAGATATTGGTTTCTCGGGCATCGTTATAGTGTCTTCAGATAGGTAAATACCAGCCTTGCGGAAATTTGCTTTGATATGCCACTTTTCCAACGTCCATGGCACGTCCTTTGACATCACTATGGATATCCGCTTCCGCGATAGATACTTCATTGTTTTCTCTACCAAGGAAGAACTGAACTTATCATCATTCTGGTCTGTCATCAATTTCGTATACTTTTTAATGTTCTCGGGAGTAGCATAGTCTGCCAATTTCGGCAGTAAAAGTTTTGGATACGCTATTGCTGGGTGTAGCGACACTCGAGTACCCATATTGCCGAGTCCTGCCACGTATTGTGTCAGAATCAAATCGAGTAGTTCTTTTTTCCTTACATTAGTATCCTCAACAAGATCATAAATGAAATGCCTTGTTTTCAGGCGATGGGGCTTGCAATTCTTTTTGTAAAGAGATACTGGATGCCTTCTTTTGAGAATAAAAGTGTTCTGCAAAAAATTAAAAAAGAATAAATACGAGAACAGTTTAATAATCTATATGTGTAGGAATCTATCAAGCTATCTCAAGAATTACAAAATACACAATTAGAAAATTTGGCCACTTGTATTACATTAGATTTATGCATATTCAAAACATGAAATTACCAAAGTAAAATATAAAAGCATATAAATATTTATAAAAATAAATACTCAATAATTTAATTTTAATTTAATTTAATTTAATTTATTATCAAATGAAATATACTGAGATAAAAAAAATATACTAATTGATATGTGACATTATTTAATAGAATATATATGAAATTAATTAGAACAAGATCACTATATGAATAAATCAACTAATATATACATTTTAATATATTATTTCATTACCAAAGTTAATTATATTATGCCACTACATTTAGATACTTTATATAAAGCAGCCTTTTTATTATATACTAATTCAGTGGTACAAATTCAAGGATGCTTTCCAGCAAAAAATACAAGGTGTTTTCATTTAAGCCTATTCTACAATGCACTCTTTGTTTTCTGTTTCTTGCTTTTTTCTCCTTTACAACTGTTTTATATTTCTTGCTACTATTTCTTGTTTCTTTCAAAGTTAATTTTTATCTCAGGCGACATAAAACATAAAACCGGATAAGAAAACAAGATGTAAAAAATAGTAAAAAGCAAGAAACAGGAAACAAAAAGCACATTGTAGAATAGGCTTTAAAATGTTTTCCAACAAAAAATAAAGATGTTTTCCATTTATTGACACAAGCGTCATTTTATTTTTCTATTCGAAACATTCAGTAACAAAGATAAATTGAAACTTGTGTCAATTTGTGTTAACAAATGGAAAGCACCAACAGATGACAATGTAACACAGTGAGTTATTATATTTATGTTTGCAAATATTAAACAAAAATGAAAAGATCATTACATTATGTTTCTTGCTGGAAAGAACAATATATTAATGGCTATATATGTAATAATAAAAGCAATTACTCGCGTTTGCTGTGACAAATAATCCGTATTATTAGACGACGTGGGTATCGCCAACGCTTTCACATGATTTACTAATAATCTCGGAAATTTGAGCATATTTATCATTTATCTTCACTTCCTTCTCTCAAAGAGCTCTCCTTAATAACTATCTAATTGTCAATAAAACAGATCAATTAGTTGAGAATAACGTTAATTCATCATTGACAAGAATCGTTTGTTAATTATTATTCAATCATTGTATAATCAGGTTTTTTCAAGAAACATGTACATATATTTATTTTTAAATTATTGCAGATATAAGTTTGTTTCATAAACGTGTACTATTTCAACATAACCTAATTATTATCTGACTCGAATCACTTGATGAATAAGATATTTGAAGATTAATGCCTCCTCGCGGGAATTAGCGCAACTTGGGAAAACATTCTAAGGCTTAAACACAATAGGCACAGGCAATAGTGAATAACGTCCAATCAGAGCTCTGATATGTAAGTTCAATATTATATCCCAGAGTTCTGATTGGACAGCTTGTTATTCTCTGTTCCCAGTGCTTATTGCCTGTGTCTATTGTATTTAAGCCTTTAGCATTCTTGCAATAGATAATTATACTACAAATTTGCACGGAAGAAAATGAAAAAAGAGCGCTAGTGTCAGTAGACTCAGCAATCAGCTGTGCTCCACTTAGCATTATAATATGTTATAACTTGTGAATTGAATATTTACAAGTATTTGCGAATTTATTTAACCTCTATTCTCTACCTCGTTTAAGTACTTTCACTTTTCGCTAGCTAAGTAATGTGAAGAAGTTCATGCAAAATGCGAGAAATTATCATGTTCCAAATTACATGATCAGTGCTCCAGATTGGGCTCTGATAATTTCGGATGCGAGTCACGTTTAAGTGATTTACCTAAATCAATTATTACGAGTGAGTCGTGCATTGTTTGACCTTAGTTGAAAAATAATGAATTGAGGAGTGATAATGGGATCTCTTCCATAAAAGCGAAGGAGAGGTTTCAGTCACATTCCAGCTCACGAAGAATTCCCGTTCGTCATTAAATACTATTCTTGATTTTATTAACTCAACTAGAATCGTCTGTGATTGGACATTCTTGAAAAATCGGATGATGCTCGTGACGCAATTGAATGGAAACGCTCTTGGCATTCCGTTGGTCCAGTCTTATCGACGTGTTTTGCTACGTGGTATGTCCTTGTGTGTGCTCCTCGAGTTAATTAATTCTTCTCTAAGTAATTATAAATTCTACTAGTCATCAATTAAATCAATAAAATTCTGCTTCTTGAAGTCATATCCTAAGCAGAACAATAAGTCATTATGATAAAATAATGTCGAAATAATTCCAAGATGATCATTGGTTATTTTTCAATTCAATCAAATCATTTCCAATTCACTTTAATGTTATTTTGATGTTACTCGTTTTGTTTTTGTATTCTTATGAAATATTTATCTATTTTTGTTATATAAGATAAGATATATATTACGTTCCCATTTATTTCTTTTCAGTCATTATTCGGCTGGTGACTGGTTAGTGATGATCAGAGGAATATACAGGAATTTTAATAATATTATGCACAAAATGACGACATTTGCGGAGAAAGATTATGGAATAGTGCAAGTAACACAGTTGCAGGAAGCTGCTTTACAGGAACGCTGCATACTCGTTGATAAACTGGATAAGCCTGTTGGTGAAGCTACCAAGCAAGCCTGTCACGAGATTAATACGGAGGGTTGTGTACCGCTACATAGGGCATTCAGCGTCTTTCTGTTTAATAGTAAAAAGGAATTGTTACTCCAGAAGCGATCGAACTCCAAGGTGAGAATCTCCTTTAATATTATTTAAAAATATGATCTTGAATATTTTAACCACATAAGTAAAAATTTAATAATCAGATTTTCTGGTAAAATATGTATACAGTTGATATTTTGAGCCATGTCACTTTTGAGAGTTTCATTCTTGATTTATATTATAATTTTCTAGGAAATCGAAATCATCACAACTAAAAAATGATTTTTCCTTTTTCTGAAAAATTTAATTTTTTCATTCATATCAGTTTTAAACTGAAGGAAGGATATCTAAATTCAGAAACTGATATTCTATACTTAAATCACATTCAGTTTTATTTATCTTATTGTAATTTTCTAATAATCTACAGAGATTAGATTGGAATAATCTACAGAGATTAGATTGGAATTTAATCAATTGGAAGAAAAAAAATATAAAGTTTAATGAAGTTTTGCTTTTTTATCAAATTTTAATCTAATATCAATTCTAATGTATAATCTGAGCACGACTTAATCCATAAGATTAAATGTCTTGAAGGCTAAAATTAAAAATAAAAATCCCAAGAAATCCATAGTAAAATTGTGACAATTTTAATTATCAACTAATTAAAATTATAACAAACTAAATTTTTCGTGCAAAATAATTATGTTCATTTTTCTATAATATTTTTCATACATCTCTAATTTATATAATTTATATTACAGATAACATTTCCAAATTGCTATACAAATACGTGCTGTAGTCATCCCTTAGCGGAGATTCCTAATGAAATAGAAGAAGAAGATGCTATAGGTATACGCCGAGCCGCGATAAGAAGACTTAGTTATGAGCTGGGTATACCTAGCGATGAGATCAAACCTTCTGACTTATTTTACTTGACAAGAATTCACTATCAAGCATCCAGTAACAATCGTTGGGGTGAACACGAGATCGATTACATATTATTTCTGCAACGGGACGATCTCACCATAAATCCCAATCCCGATGAAGTGAGCGAG